GGAATACCTCCATTCGACCAGTCTACATTCAACCACTCTCAGAAACAACCACCTGCATAAGCCTGGGAAATGAGAAGCAAGCAGCAAACATCAGGTGAATTTTTGGAGCCACTCTAGTGCCAGAGTAACTTTTTTGCCCTTTAACCTTAAAGGTGAATCGGAGTTCCCACATGATCTATCGAACTCTAGATTCGAAAACTAAGATCCAAGTTCAAACTCGGATATTTCAAGTTCGAACTCGAGGAGTTGGAAACAGTTTCCACGCTAAGAACTTAGCCTGTTTTTTGCAGCAATGAGAGAAAGTCGAAAGACGTGCAAACAAATGAAACAGAAGGACAACTGGTCTAAAAACAGTTCAAGCTTCTTCCACATGCAAAACTGGACTTTGTAAAGCTGTGTTTCCACAAGATTGACTGCAATGTTGCCATGCAACCGCATTCGGATACGGAAACTTGCCAAAGCAAAAGAACAAACGACTGTGTACTGGAGGAAGCCATTCCAGCCAAGTTTTTTTAAAGATCCATAATCAACGTGAAAAGAAAAAACAGACAATATTCAAGTTAGCGGAATGTATCGTTGTTACAGATTTGCACCAAAGAAAAATAGTGGAAACATGCGATTCAAATTAAGGTTCAAGGCTGGAGCTTGAACTCTAAAGTCGCATTTCTTTTTGGACCATTTCGTTTTTAACTGTCAACAAGTCCATTTCTCTTCAAAAGTATGCTTTGAAAACTTATTGAACACAGCCTTGTAAAAACAATAATATTGTTGTTTAGCGAACAGACTTAAACCGTGTACCTTGCTTGGATCCAGCTTCCTCCATGTTGACACCTGTGGAGCCTTAGCCAATTTTTCGGGTTTCAATTCAAAGCATGCATCTTCCAGACCCTTGGTTTTGATCCAGCTTCCCCATGTGTCGATTCGAATTTGATTCGTGCACTTGTTGTCTTGTTTTCCCACGGCAGCCCCAAATTCCACACCTTTTACGTTTTCATGCCCTTTTCCCATTTCGAGAGAAACAGCTGGGTTTAGAAGCCGTAGACCCACCTGGTTCCGCCTGCAGCGAGTGGTTCCCTGTTTGTTGGAGCCCAGAGCTCCATAAAACTTGTGTGAGTCACATTGACGCGTCCCATTCACAGCAACCTTTAGTAAAAGGCGAAGGATTGGTGTGCTATGAAGTGAACGCTGTGATGATCAGCCATGAAACTGTCGGCTTGTGCAAAGAAGCTCCAATCTGCACTGCATACACACCACGCACACACGGATGGAACTCCAAACGTCCAATTTCATCTTGATGGAAAAACAGGCAACTTCCACAAATTAAAGCAGCCCAGTGAAACAAAAGTGTTATTACTTTCCTCACCACCCACAAACAAACAAACAAACACACACACACACACACGTATCCCAGCATATGTCCAGAATATGCAAAGCACCGCGGTAGACTTGGACCCCGTAACCGTATGTATGTATATATACATGTATATATTATTATTATTAATATATATATATATATATCAACATTTGACTGTATTGGTTTTCGTGTATTTTTCTGTATGTATAAAGTATATCCTTTTGTACTACTTGTGCATGCATACATATATGTGTGGGTGGGTGGCGAGCAGGAGAGATGGAGAGATAGAGCGACTTGGGACTGTCAACTCTTTCCCCGAACAAATCAAGGAGACGAAGAGAGGTCGATAGGTCCATCGGCATATAGATGTGCGAAGATCTATGTTCGCGATGTGTAGATGATGCTGCAGGTCCCAGCTGCTGCGAGACAGAGGCCTTCGCAGAGTCTGCGGCTCAGGTTGACAGCCTGGACAGGAAGCGCACCAAGAGACCAGAAACTACGCAGTGAAGTGCCGCTCAGGTGAGACTCCGAACCACATTCCGCTGTTTGTCGCCAGCCGAGAATTGGCCCACCTCTAACCCAGCTTTCAAAGCAAAACTATCCTTTGCATTACTGCATTGCAGAGATGAAACATCGTGGGTACAAAGTTGAACGGGTCTGGTTTGCTCGAGCTTGACCATTAAGGAGGGCGAGTTTGCTTCTCGGAGCTACAGACCACCACCCCCAGAGGCACGGACCGTAAGCTTCATGCTGAGCTGCAAAGTCAAGCCTTCAATCCGGGCGCAGGTCGTCACCTCTACCCGGCCTGCCGGGCGATCGAGCGAGCGAAGCGCCTCTGACAGGGCCAGCAACGAGTGCAAGTTGTCGTGCAGTGAATTCATCCGGGCCATTGGCCAGTGGCAGACACTAAGCTGGACGCAAAGCACATGCTCTTGCAGGCGAGCCATAGGCGATACTCGCGCGGAGCTCACATCAAGAGTGCATCCTATCCCTGGTCTAGGCACTTCTGCTTTCGCGCTGCAGGACTGTCAAACCATGTTGTAGCATCTTTTCGTCATGTGGCGAACGGTACAATTTACAAGCAAAACAAGATTCAGCTGAGGCATCGGTCGGCAGAGGCTCGGCTGCCCGGCACACGCTCAGCATCGAGCCACGACAAGTCCGGAACTCAAGGCAAATCATTGTAAGAGTATCTTCTGACATCAGTTCGGGCTTATTCTCTGTGACCTGGGACTTGGAGCATGATTGCCTGGCGGGGCTGATGTCTACGAGCTTCCCTTAAACAGGTGGGCAACATTCTTGGCGTTTGCTGAAAATATCGGGAGCATCTCTTCCTGCCGCTGCCCGAAGACCTTCTTGACGATGAGCATGGAGCTCTCTGTACTTGACCCTCCGAAACGTCAGCGTGGGGCTAGCCCCTTTGATGCCCGCCGTGACCTGGCTCTCGCTTTCTGTCTGCAAATGAACGGACTGCCACGAGCTCGTAGCCGAGCTCGACAGAGGCTCCTTTGGTCTGGCCTCTCCAAGGTTGGACCTTCACTGGGATGCAAAGCATTCGATCCTTAAAGGGTTGTTCAGCTTCTCGTGTCGGCATGTGCAGCTTGGGATAGCAGGGGACGACGGAAAAACGAGAGCCATTCAGGAGGAAAAGGGTATAACATGAGGGTTGTTGTAGTTGTAGTCGCAGACGTTTTTGTCCCCGCCCTCATTGTCGCCTCGCTCCTTGCAAATGACGAATGCCGAGGGTCGAACTTGAGTGCTGCCCCGGGTGGTGAAACCCGATCGTCCTGAGGTATAGGCTGCAGCAAAGACAAGCCGCTAAAACCTGAGTGTGCGGCCAAAGTGTTGCGTACTTCCACCATTGGCTGTTGTCTACGACCATACATGAGCCAATGCTTATGCCGGAATGGATGGGCCTCCTATGCCTTCATTCAGTGCCTTGTTACCCGTGTGTCGTAGCCAATGGCTGCTCCACTTCAGCGGCCCACTGGGCCGAAGATTTGTTCGCCGGCAGCCCGCTACCTGCAGGGCACAAAGGATTGGAAATTGCTTTGCGGCACCTTCGAGTTCCAACGAGAGCATGAAGGCAGCTAATGCACATCCTTACTCATGACCGCCGAGAGAAATCGATGCTGCGCATGGATTGTTCACAGCCAGCGAGAGCAGCAGGAGCGCAGAGCGATGGCTTTGATGCAGTGTTCATTTCCAAAGTTGCAACCTGCGGCGTGTTCCTTGGCTCTTACAGCCACTATCATGCATCGAGCTGCTCGTTGTGAAGCAGAAGACAGCCCACACACGAGCTAGGCGTAGGGTTAGGCATGACGTTGAATCAAGACGGCCACTACCTTCTTAACAGCAGGCTTGTGCACACCCGCTGCGTGGAATCTGCCTATACAGGCGCGACTGTCCAGCTGCGAGAAGTAAGTTCAATCCAACAGTTGTGGACTTTGTTTGCCGCTCGTGAGCACCAAGCGCACGGCATGCGAAAGATTCCGAACAAGCTGTGCATTCACATGATTTCCCGAGTTGGCTTTTCGGTGCCTGGTGCTTCTGAGATCGGTACGGCTGCCGCATAATTTGCACAGCAATTGCTGGCCTGTTACTGAAGACTGCACGGTTTCAGGGCTGTGCCTCCAAGATTGACTGCCACTGGCCCTGCTGTGCAGTGGCTTCCGAGCATGGCGCCGACCAACCGAGCACAGATGAAGCAGAGGCACCTCAACTGGGCTGCTGCCTCAGGATGTGGCTCTTGCACGACTTGGGTGGAAGACTTTGGAATGTGTCAGCCGAAGCCGAAACCATCAGTCAGTTAGTCGTCGCTGTTAGGGTGGGTTTGTGCACTGCAGTTTGCAGGTGATGTTGTTGTTGGGTGTGCCGACAAATGGGATTCGGATGGTTGGGTGTAGAGCAGTCTGCAGAACTGTGCAGGTGCAGTCTTGAGAGTGCTTCACAGTTCGTCGGTTCGCTTGCATCGGAGAATGAGGCCATCGCTTGCGACAAGGCTGGCGGGTGGTCACTGGCAGAATGGCTGTCGGCATGCTATGCTTCAGCTCTTGTTTGACTGCATCCGCTAGGGTTCTACATGGTGCCAGTCTCTAATCGAGATTTAGCATGCAAAGCATCGGGCCAAGCGCGTTGCATGATTAGTTTCAATACCTGCATGCCAGCGACTCTGGGACCGACAGTCTGGCAACAGTCCAAACTTGGTTGCGAGGAACGTGCAGTTCAGCTGGGCGAGCTACCGCTCGAGCCACAGTCAGCAGCTCCCCGCCTTCCAGACTTAGCATTTTTAGGAACAGAGGGCCGGGGACAAGGGGACAAGATGAGACAAGTGATTGCAACTGAGCCGCGCGCTTGCGTTTATTCTCGCAGGTCGGATGTACTGGTACGAAACACTCCGCCGACACATGGCTCAAAGCTTTAGCTGGTGCAAGGCGGCAAGGCTCTAGCAGCCATCGGCCGCCCCAATCGTTTAGTTACATGGCGACTGGATTGCAGGGAAGGGCACGCATTCTACATAACGCAGCATGTGAAGCAGCCCAGGTGTTTTTCTTCACTTGCTCTGATCCGCGATATGTGCCGGACTCGGCACGGCTTGGTGCGGTTGGAGCGTCCAGCAAAAGCCCTTTGAGCCCAGGTGGTTTACATGGGAAAGGACAAGTACGAGAATGAGGAGCTGTTGAAATATGGATTTCCAGAGGCAGGAATGCCAAGCTTGGCATCCCGGACATATAGCAGTCGGTATGATTCTGTGCTCCACCAGGATATTTGGTTCCACGTTGATAAGCTGTCTTCAGCACATGTGTACGGGCCTCGGTGCTCTGAAGCCACTTAGAGCTTCCTGGGCCGCAATGCATCGCCTCGCGGCTGCTCGCGGCTTCAGGTATCTCCGTCTTCCGCCTGGCAGTCTGGACTTGTCTGGGGCCAACAAGGCCCCAAAGCAGACAAGAAGCTGGCGGTGTTGATTCTGAGCAACACATGAGTACGGCACACCTCGAAGACTGCAAAACTCCGACTTCAGCCGTGTCCTCTCATTGAAGGCCGAAGCCAAGCAGAGGCTGGCCGCTTGCTTGCTTTGGAGCTGTCTCCTGGTTACGGGAGCCTTTCACAGAACGTCAGGTTTATGGGGGTTTTGGGCTCGCGTGTGTTCGAAGATGCCACAGGCTGCTGGATGCGATCGCTTCAGTGCCGGAAGAGATCCTGATGGAGATGGCCCAGCTTACGAAAGAGAATTCCATCGAGGGTTGCAAGGCTTTGCTTCGGGTTCGAACGTTGTCTCCCACCATGCTGTAAGGCCCTGGCCGTATGGCGAGACAGATAGCATGTGTGCGCAAGGCAGCTCAGTGCGACATAGTCTACACACCATTCCTCAACTTGAAGAAAGAGGACCGCATGGAAGTCGGCCAGGTGGGATCGTTTGAATGTCGCAACAGGTACACTGAAATAAATGCTCTCGGACCAGGTTGGCTTCAAGGAGGAGTCTTTCCGAACCTTGATCAAGCATGTGGCCAAGGATTGATGCCAGCAAAGCATTTTCAAAAGGTAGTTCGCCTGAGAAGGCCAAGGGCCGACAGGATCCTTCCATCCTCCCTCAACCCCCTCTGACTTGCCGGGCTTAGCAGCCGGCAAATCTCTGATAGCGAAGTGGAGGACAAAGACATAGTCAAACGGCTTGAGAAGACGAGGGTCGAGAAGACCGTCGACCTTGCAAAGGCACGGAGGTGCTTGCCCAGCATTGCTCTGCCAGCGACCTCGTCTTTGCCAGGAGAAAGAGGAGCATGACAACGAAGAGAAAGCTAGAAGAAGAAAAGTTATTGAGGATCTGCGTCTCCGCACACAGTCCTTGATCCTTTCGAGATCTTTCGAGTTGCCGCTGACGACGAAGTAACTTGCTTGGGAAGAGTGGGGTTAAGCTGTGGCTCTATATCGCCTTGAGCCAATTGGTGTGCTCGCAATGAGCGGCGTTGAAGACCTGGCTGGAGCCATTTTGCAATCTCGCATAAGCTCGAAATGCAGTAATGGCAAAGCACGAGTGCAAGTCAAAGAATCACGAGTTACCCGTGCCGAAGAACCCTTTCTTTTCTGAATTCAAAGCCTCTAAGCGGAACATAGCGGAACGACACATCCAAAATCTTGGCGCTACATCGACAGGAGCGGAAAAAGGCGGAGAAAGAGGAGACCAAGCGCCACCTCGAGGAGAAGGCCGCGGCATCTTCATGCCTTCATGCGGTTTAGCGTTCTCTTGCAGTTGAGGGCCAGGCGGCCTTCCCTGCATTGCTCGTCGAATGCCCTCACAGGAGCTCAAGAGCTACGCCGCGCTCCAGCACTTGGAAAAGTCCTCAAATGTCGGCCCATCCCTCGGTTCACATTTCACAATTTCATTGTGGTACTCTCACGGCCCGCCCCAGACCGCTGTCCGATACTTTAACAGTGGATACGCACCACAGACACTCGGGCCGCTCGGGCATTTCGCTAAGGCGTTAGCAAGACGGGCTCGATTGAGGAGTGTCGGGAGATCGAGGATGATTTCATGTGAGGTCCGTGCCGGTCAAGGTGCCGAAGCGCACGGGAGGCATACACGGGTCTTGCAAGCGCTCTTCTCAGCGCATGCAGTGGAGCGCCTTCCAGGTGTGTTAGTTCAACTTTTTGTTATATTTTGCGATCAGTGGCGGAATCACTCTGGGCAAACTAGAACCGCAAAATGTAATTACCAGGAGCGAGCCTGCCATTGAATGTAAGCCGAAGCGCACGTGGTTGTACAGCCTCCACACCGCAGCCTCTCACCGTCTACAGATGTGAGCCGGCGAGGAGGAAAACACCACCGTGAGCATGTGGTTGCGGTTCATTGCCAGAAGCAATCAGTGGCTATCGTTCGCTGGGGTTGTCCCTGTGCGGCTGCGCCAGAAGGTCATGTGCATGATGTGACCGTCGCCAAGGCCAATTACAAGAGAAGTGCCGCAGATGGACATGACGAAGCTAGCCAGGGCTGAGCTGGCTGCCCGGTATGGCTTTCTGTTGCAACAAGTGCGGCGCAAAGTCTTGAGCACAAATGGTGCACGCAGCATGGGTTCACAAGCCAGGTTTTGGCAGTGATGTCCTTTGCCTGGTAGTATCTCGATGAAGAGAGCTGGCAAGAGTCAAGCTGACACATGACAGTCATGACAGCAGGAGGATCTCGTGACAAACGAACTGTCGGACTGCGTGGCAGCTTGCTGATTCAGGTATTTTCCCATTGGAGGTCGGACATGACACGTTTTCTGCGGACAATGTGGACACTACTTCGTGACATGCGCAAACTTGTCATGTCTCCGTCATGAGCGACAGGGCGAAATGTAGTCAACAACAACTCCAGATCAGCTCCTCGGCAGCTACTGGAAGCTATCTCGCTGCTCGCGTGCTTGCTGGTTAAGACTTCGGTCAGACGGCTTTACGTTACACTCACTACCGTACAATCACTACAAGATACGATCCAAGGGGCTTGCCATTCTGGTTTGGTGCAATGTCAGAGAGACGGTCGAATCGCTTTTAAACTGCAGCCTGCCAAGTCGATGCGGGGAGTGGGAATAAACCGCAATCCTACTGGAAAGTTGGGTGTTTGGTGCATCATCCCCAGGATAATAAAAATTCCATGCAGCTTTGACATTCATGGTTGAAGCTAATGACATGTGGGGCCTCTGCTTCTTTCCCCGCAGCATTGGCTGGTTTTCTGCACGAGCATTGCTGCTCCTCTCTTAAGACGAAACCCTAGTCGCAGCCACCACTGCTTTGAAGCCGGCAGAAGCTTCGCCCATCGCACGTGACATATCGAATTTTGCAAATTCGAGCAGATGCCCTTAAGAATGAAGTAGCGTTTGTGTGCAGACGAGCGGCTGCCGTGGTGCTGGCTTCTGCGCACTGAGGCGATGGTCTCCATGGGAACCGGCTCCTGGGCTGGGTGGCCAGCCCAGTGTTCTCTGCCCTCCACCTGGAGACTGGGGCGAACGGGTATAGCGACAACCAGAGTGAAACCACCGTACACATATTAAAACATATTATTATGCTATGTTGAACTGTTGAACGGAACAGCCGAGGTCTGGTGGTCTCAGGAGCTTTGGGGTCGCGTGTTTGCTGGTTGAGATCCACATGCGTGCTCTGCAGACTTGGTGGCAGGAGCACATACCGGCAGTCCATTGGTGCACCAATGGGGCCGTTGATGTGTGGAGCCCTGTGCAGATGCATCGGTTTGAAACGGGAAGAACACGGAAACTGATCGAAGCTGCCAAGGCTAAACTTGGCTCGCGGGGGCGTTCCATCTCAAGTTGCCTTGCTGAAGGCCGGGGCCATGCAGCCGCAAAGGGTTGTCTGCGGCGGGTAGGATGGGATAGGTTTGCCGCATACACGGTCTCTCGCAACCTGTGTGCACCCCTGCTTGTACGTGTCAGGTCGCTGCAGATCTTTCACAGCTTCATCTGCTGAATAGTCCCACCTGCCCTCCCAGATGGGGTAGGTGAAGTTGAGATGTTTGGCGGATGCCAGCACTTTTGCTTGAGATCGGTTACGGCCCAATGGCCTGGGCGGAGATTTCCTAAAAAGGGACGGACTGGGGACACGTTCCCCTCCTTCCTGTAACAGCGCAAGAATTTGCAACCAGAATAGAATGTGTGTAGGGTTTCAGGGTTCTTCCTGTCCCTGAGCCAGCAGGATTGCACCTGGTTCCAGGTGTGCACTACAGCTAAAGCTGGGCAGTTACAGCATTTCAGCAGACTTGTGGCGGTGTCCATCGCATGCCCCTGACCCGCACTCCTGTGCCTGTGCCAGGACACAGAAGCTTTCTACAGCCTGCCCGAGTCTGCACCGCGCCTGCCTGGCCGGCATGGTTTTTACACAAACAGAGCCAGACGGGTTTTCCGGGTACTGCACAGACGGGTACGGAACGCATTATAATGCATTGTTCTTCCTTTCCTTGACCACAGCAAGGGTGCACGACGCCATGGTCGGTGTTGTGCAACCAGCACTTCTTTGGCCAATCCTTTTCGAGCACAGAGTACGATCGCCAAGCCATCGCCAGGCAGGCGTACGCGAGGCTCCGGACTGAGAACGGGCTTTTCGTCAAGCAATCCTGTATCGGAACGTGCCCTGCTTGTGTGACAAGTTGGTTTGCAAGAATGCTTGTTCGTTGTTGCTCCATGTGCACGGTACAGTATGTGACAGTATGTGCCACCAAGGACCCTGTCAGCTTGAGCCTTAAGGGACAAAGGGTACGGCCTAACAGCAATGTTTGTGGTTTCAGTTGTCGGTCACAGCAAACCACGATCTATGGGCTACATTCGCAAAGGCGCTGCTATTGCGAAGAGTGCTGCTATCGGCAAGTAGTGAAGTTGTGCAATTCACATGGCATGGTGTACTGTGATGTTGTTGCAGTTCAATGTTTGGACCGGACTTAGGCACCCTCACTGCGCTTGTGAGAGCCGCAGTGCTGTGTGCACCGTTACGCAACAAACGTATACTGTTTTCACCACTGTCGGACGCATTGTCCTAGACAGCGTCTGAAGTTCAGAAAATCTGCCAACTGATCCTGACTGACACATTCCAGCCTCATGTTGACCTTCGAGCCAACTGTCGCCAACCTGCTGCTGCCTGGCCGACCTTTGCCGCAAGCTTGGCCTCATGCTTTGCGAGCCTACCTGCGCTGAAGTAGTAGTCGCTTAGTAGTCAACCTAAAATACAAATCAAGCTTGAGGGGAGGGGTCTGCAGTTCGCGGGCCGAGAGTCAGTCTTCGTGGCGCTTTTGCCGCATATCTACAAGTCAGTCTACGGGATTCCTACGGCTAGACTTGCCGCAGGCATGAGCGCAAACCTGGTAGCACCATGCTTTGTTATCCTCCAAAGTAGAGGCGGCGACAGAGTCCTCAGACACCGTACCGGCCGACCGAAAGCTGGATCGACGCTGGATTCAGAATCCCAGAGTTCCCTGCTGATGCATGCTGCGGGCCTGCACTCCTCGGCGGGCCTGGGCCCGGGAAAGGCTCAGCTTGCACTGAGCAGATGGCTATTGAGTTATTAGAATGATTAGACCTCTTCAGGGCACCGATCTCAAGGCAGTGGCAGCCTTGTTGCCATGCAGCTGAGGTGACTACGCTGCAGGGCAACCTCTACCGTCCCATCTTCCTTCGCTTCGTAGGGACTATTGGGAACTCGAGTTGCAATGGTGCGCATGGTAGAGCTGGATGAAAGAAGCATCGAGTTTTTGGCTGGCCAAGACTGAGAGTGCCGCAGAACTTTCTTGGAACCAGCTTTGCGACACCTGGCAGTCCTGCATACAGAGGCTACTAGCAGGCATAGCTAGGTTGAGTGCTGCAGTCTGATTTGTCCCGGATGACCGGCAGGATTCCGCCATATGGCGAAGACCCTCACCAAGTGCTTGGACTGTGCCCAGGTGCCGCGGGCACTTGACTGGTAGCTGTGAGGAACTCGGCCGACCCTGCTCCAATTTCAGGTGCCTCCGCCGCAGAGGTCCGTGCAGCCTACCTCAAATCTGCGCTGCGTACGCATCCAGACCTGGCCCGCAGCTCTGCTGAGGCGGGAAAGGGCACATGTGGTTGCATCAATCGGGGCGTTGTGTTCTTTCTGCGATAATGAAGTCAGATCTGAAGTTGGAGGTCCAAGAGTTTGCGACAGGGGCATGATTGCAATTCCAGGCCTTGTTGTCTACTACACCATGTCATCCAGGCGGCCAAGCAAAGCGAAGCATTCCGGCGAGTCGCAGAGGCGTATCAACAGCTCCGCAACCCTCGAGGAGCGAAAGTGTCTATCGGTGTTGGCCATGGCAGAGCACTGGAAAGGGAATTCCGTGACAGCCAACACGCTGGATGTTGAGGATCACAAGCATCGGTCGGCTCCGCTCCAAAGGAGGGCTGGCTCCGCTTCTGCCTCGTGCTTATCTCGCACCATCTCGCACCCCCTTGTCCAATCGGCGAGTCTAGACTCGAGTCGAGGTTCCGTCAGCCAGGAGCAGGCGGAGAGACTTTTCCGCGACGCCTTCAACGGTCGCGGCTTGGACGAGATGCTTCAAGAGGAGCTTCGAAGGGGCACTGGTTGCCATTGGTTCGCCCGATATGCCCTGCTTGCTCTGTGTCCGGCTGAATCGCAGGAATTGGGGCGAGTGGGGCTGAAGCCAGGAGTTCACGCTGCAGCTGTCCGCGAAGGCACTTTGGCTAGCGGCAAGCGGCTAGGACCATCGTGATGGCCAGCGTTGACCAGAGCCTGAAACGGACCTGAAACAAGAGCAGCAGCAACAGGAGGAAAGCATGCACACAGACGACTTAAAGACAGATGCTTGCGTGTTAGTACAATATAAACGTTCGGCAGGGGTGGTGTCATCGTGGCAGCTGGCATAAGCGACCGAAGCTGTCGTTGTCATCGCCCCTGCGCACTAGTGGGAATTGCAGGCCACGAAGCCGACACAAGCCTTTGGTCACCTTGAGTGCTGTTGCCCCTACTTTGCCAAGGTATTTTTGCTCGACTTCTCCGCTCCGCGCAGGCAGCTTCACGGCTGCCTTTGCCCCAAGAGGCCCGAAAAGTTGGGTTGAACGACGGCTGTCTGCACCATTGCTTCAACACGGGACTCAATCTTGCATCAGTTTGACAGGTAACCGACAAGCCGCGTCCGGAAGAGAACTGGCCGCGACTGGATGTTCAGAGGGAGCACTTCGTGGGCAGCGATGGGCACAAGTGGATGCGCACCTAATCCAAAACCCAGTATCTGCAGTTCTGGGACAAAGGCATGTTCGGAGAATTCCTGCACCTTCGTCTTATGTGGAAGCTCGTAGAGTAATTTTGCAATACGCTTACAAGATTCTGATTGGAGGACTGAGGTTAGTGTAGCTGGAAGTTTCGGATATCCTTCCTTCAAAGCCTCGAGAACTACTCGAGTAGGGATCGCAATGTCTTGTGAATTAAGTCGCTGTATCCATCCAAGGCATCTACACCACGACTCGATGGCCAAATGGAAGGAAGGAGGTGGTCAGTCCTGTGCCCGAAAGCACATCGTGTGAAATCATGCAGTTGCAAAGCTGGCAGGAGCACGTCCTGGAGAAGCCTGTGTACAGAATGTGATGCGATTGGGCTTCGAATGGCTTCGACATGCTTCGACCCAGGTGTCCTGTGTGAAAATGTGGAGCAGCTGCTCCTCGAAACCACTTCCGTGTTGCCGTGGGGCATGCGACAGAAGAAGCCACAGTGCTGATTGATCTGTGATTGTCAGCAGCATCCTGCATGCAAGCCTTGCACCTTGCTCTGCTGCAACATGCTGCAACGCATGCGAAGCACGTTTGTTAATCCCGTTAACTTGGCAGCAACAGACATGCCTATGAATCTCTGAAAACTGGTAGCAGAGCCTCGACAGCGGAACCTAGTGGATGGAAATGGAGCGAAAGAAACATGTACAAACTTAAAACAGTCCACCCGACCTCTGAAGTCCACCTTGAAGCATTCGCATAGAGTCATACCAGCCCTTGAAGAAACCGCGATTGGGAATTGTGGGGCTAGAGTGCCTGTCCAGCTGCTCAAACCAGGCGCCTGCCTTCCTGCGTGGGTTGAAGTTTTTTGTGGTTTTCGCAATGCAGAGCCAGGCCAATGACCATTGCTGCACCCAAAAGTGCCCCTTCACGCCCCCACAAGCTTTCGCTCGGGCCTTGGCGGATTTGCAGAGTCTGCTGTCAGGGCAAGCAGCTTCCATTCTGTAAGGCCTGCCGAGTGCAAAGCATGGATCCAGGCGTGAAGTGGGTGCTCACATCCCCTCGAAGGAGATTGGAGCACTGCTGACACAACTACACACTTGTGTTATTCCGTGAAGGGTCGTGCCCAAAGTACCGCTGGGTCGCGTTATAAATATGTTTTCTCTGCAGGCAGTTGCTGGAGACTGGCAGGCTCTTGGAAAAGCGCCGGGTTCTTGCGCTAGATTCGGGGTGCGCGGCCTGCGATCTGCACGCTTGCCGTGCAAGAAACGAGGCCCCTGGCAGTGCGAATGGATCCTCGACTGGGTGTCGCGGCCACTGGGCCGCGAAGGGCATTCGTGCCGCGAAATTTGTGGTTGGACTGTTGAGCTACATACAGTTGGTTATCATTCGGTTGCAGCATAGCTATCCTGAGGCAGTGAAGCAGGACTGGCGAGCAGGGTGCCCCAGATCCTCTAAGGAAATAGCTCGATTTATAGAGCTGCTTGCAGTTTCGGTGTTCGGAAACTTGCTACCAAGCCGCTGTTGAAGTGGTCTCTGCTGCAGGGATTTCTGAAAGCCCGGGAGCTGCACCGTTGGAGACGCAGCACGCCTTTGCATTCCGTTGGCCCGTTGGCAGGCGATCCAGTTCGTGGGCGAAAATTTACGAGCAGACAAAAGCTTCATGTTGCAGGCCCTGGAATGTGGTAGGCATGCCCCGATAAGGAGCCATTATTGTGCATCCCTTTGTCGGCGAGAGCTAGTAGGTCTCTCCCTAGGTAAGGAGAACATCGAATATTGTGAACACGGAGTCTTTGGTCTGGCTCTTGCTCTAAGTCTGAAGCTTCACGTGCTGCAGTAGGGGAGCGGACAACGTTGCAGAATCGCACGGTGAGAGCTCTCCATCCGCAAGAGGCCTTGCAATATTCCGGCTTCGCGTTGCAGTTCGCCTCCCAAGCTCTGCGGTGCGATCGTGAGGCTCAGGGGACGGGCCGGGATCCTGTCAAACGTGTTGGCTAGCCAAATACGAGTTGGACGAGCGGTTTTGCCCCACAGGTCGTACTGGAGGCAGTTCGCAAGGACTGCTTCCCATTCTTCCGCATTGGTCTCCTCGTGCTTTGGGCAGTAACGTGCTTTCGCCGGCACGCCCGCATCTTTCGTGCACTTTACTGTATTCTCAGGGAGAGATACCGCAAATGCAAGTCGCCACATAGACTCGTGCATCACCGGATAGTAAGATGCAGCACAATTATTTGAGCAAGTTCCGCCTTCATGGGTCTATCGTGTGCAGTGTCTTTAGGCCTGTGGTGGTTTCGTTGTGTCGAATAACGACATGACGACTTGCTTCTTCGCGGCATGATCGACTAGAGTCCGTGTGAGCGAGAGAGAGCGTACAATTGACCGAATGTCAGTGTGCCAACTGCAGTCTTGAGGACGGATGCTCGATCCGGCATGCCTTCTACCAAGCCTTCAGAGAGGAGTTCGATATTGTCAAAGAGGCTCAGGGCTCAGGACTTTAACACGAGGTTTGCTGACAAGACAATTGGCTCAGAGTGCAGTTGGTACGATCTGCTCAGCACAAGCACATGTGCCATTGTGCAGGCGGTTGCCAACGACTGGCGGGCACTGCAGTTCGCGTCCACCGAGATGAAGAAAAACAAGGAGATAGGCCTGCCACATCCAATCGCAGCTTTGGCAGATTTGCTACGGCATAAAATGGCAGCTCTCGTGGCCATTGAGCAGAGCTGGGAAGCGGTGCGATTCATCGACGAGGACCATCTGACCGCATGGCGTGAGTCCAGATCTTTCCGCTGAGCCATTTCCGGAAAGCTTGTTGTTTTGCCTTCTGAGCAGTTGGCTGAGTCGGCCCGTCGGCACTCCAAGAAATTCTGGAATGCACTGCATCTTGCCAGTAGTTCCTGAAAAGGAGCTACAGGGGGATTATGCCATCATGGATGCGGCAGTTTCGCAGCATGGAGAGGCTGGCTGGCCAGAGTCTGCAGGCTGCGCGCAACCCTCGGCAAACGGCTTGGAAGTGGCATGACGGTTTTCAAGTAGGGATAGCCCTACTGCAACCCCTGCACCCTGAGCAACGGTCACATCGTCACACCGCAAGACGGTGCAACCTGGCAATACCTCGTCGTGTAAAATTCCAGTTAATTTTTCAGCGGAGCAGCTCCAGGCGCTGCGGTTTGCCAGCGAAACGCTGCGTGCGAACGCGGTGCTGGAAGTGAACTTAGCCATTTCGGTGGAGCAGTCAATTGTCAATTGCTCGCCGGCGTTGTTTGCAAAAGCTCCTCGGTCAGGTCAGAAAGGCAGCAGAGAATGGCTGGCAGGTCGGCAGCCTTTGGCTTGAGTTATTTGCTTGCTCACTGCCCGGAGTCTTGCGAGGTTGTGGCTGAGGGAAACGAAATAGTCCTCCAGTCGCGAGCACAGCATTTCCGGTCCCGAAAAGGGGTTTCATCGTTCATTCACTTGGCCTGCTACTGGTGAAGGAAAGCAGGAGCGAAAGTGTTACCACCCTTCGCCCTTTAGCCGAGGCTGAGAACCGAAGGGCTGACCTGGGCGCCGCGGCCTGTTCGCAACCCGTAGCCTTAGTCGGAGCACCAAGTTGTCAACACAACTCGGCGGAAAGCTCGCAACCCGACCTGAGACCGATTACGCGGCCTGTGCGATTATGATTAGACAGGAATTATGCTTCGCCTGGCAGCCTGCAAATGCATGAAGCTGGCGGCATTCTTGTTTGTCAGGTAGGCTTGACCCAGCTTTGGGTATGGATTAGTTGGTCTCGAGGGCCAAGGCACACTTGCAACGTCTCAATGGTTCCCCATTGTGCGGCGAGCTTAAGTGCTGGCAAGGCCCCGGACCTGGACCTAGTACGGTACCGCATCTTTTCAAGCCATGCCGAAGGCATGACGATCTTGTAGCATCGGTACCGGCACCGTTAGAAATGAGCTGGAGGCTTCAAGATCAGCTGCTTTCAGGTGGGAGTTCTTGCGGACACTCACTTGAGAAGAGGGTCAGTAACAGCGAAACTCGCACCCGAATCATCTATCAAATTCATATGATACCGTGCAAAATCACTTCCCACGCCCCACTCCAGCCGTGCATCTAAAGGGTGTCCACACAAATCCTCGGCATAGTTCGCTCCATGGACTCCATTCGCGCGAGTCTCAGGGCACCACCATCCGAAATAATTGAATCCCAGGGTGCTATCCGAACAGTGCGAGGAGGACATTTATCGGATCCTCAGTGGCTGTTGCGTGGTCGTGGTTTCGGTTGGCGGCTCGAGAAGGGCACTGCACTCCCTAATTCAAAGGCCGCTGAGCCTGGAATCTGGTTGGGTTGTGGCCTCATTTTGTGCCGCCGCCTTTGGCTCCGCCACGTCTGCTTTCGCAGACAGTAGGCCTCACCAACCGGGCGCCAGCTGCACTTGGAGGCTCGCTTGAGGCAAAGGGGGGCCTGAGCGCGGGAAGACTTCAGCACTGACACAGTGCTTGCGCTTTGCTTGTGCTTGAGGGGTTTCCTCCGCTTAGGCTTACTCCTTGCCATGCGGCATAAGGTTGTGACCTGGTGCAGGCATGGAGCCCAGCCAAGAGGAGCCCAAGGCCTCCGTTCGACGAGGCGAGCTTCCATCTCAAGTATTCGGCACGGAAGTTGGCATTGCTTTTCACCGGTAGTCCGGTAGTCCTGCGACGAGCTTATGAAGGAAACGGAAAGGCATCACCTCAGCATCCGAAACCCTGCTTGACAAGCACCTGCCAAGCCTGAGTGCCGAGCAAGGAGTGATCGTCATGCTCGGGCTGACTGCTTCGGCCCTGCTTGGCCTTGCCACTTGGAGTTCGACTGACAATTCCCATTCCCTACGTGAGATGCCTGTGTTGTCTGCTGAACCTACCACTAGAGCCATTTCTGCATACTCCTCGCCGGACTTTTGAAGATGCCTGAGGGATCGAGGCTTGCGGCCACAGAATCTTTGCAGCTTGGCTCAGAGTTTGCCGGGTGCGAGCTGGAAAGCTTGGCGGCCTTCGCAGGGTTGATGCCTTCGCGAGAGATTGGAACCCACCGGCTTCATCGTCGTAGCTCAGAGTTTGGGAGTCAGACATGCCATCGCAACAAGTAGCCTAGAAGAAAGCATGTCCTTTTCAGCCAAGATGTTGCAGAAAGTTCCGTTTGGCAATCTTGAGTTGGCCGGCTCCAAGGTTGAGAGTGGTACGATAGAGAGGGGTGATTGAAACTGGCTAGACTTGGGCCCAGTGTGGTTCAATGGCATGATGTGTAAATGCTCTGGGCTGAGGAAGTCCCCGTTTTGTGCTTAAGCACACGCTGCGGATGCTCGCAGGGCACAGTATGCCAAGGCTGTGGGCTCCGGAGGCTCCGGAGGTTGAAGGCCGCCGGTTGCGGGCGAATGCAGCCTCGGAGGAGGTGCGATGTGCTGTTCGAGGGATTCGGGAGCCAAATGAGCCGGGTGCAAGAGGACGAGAGATCTTGGAATCCTGTGAATTCTTCTTGCGGCCGCTTTATCGTGTTCAGGACCCAGTTTGGGGCTGCGGGCTTTTGGGGAAGATCCCCGGCATCTCTGAGAGCGGAGCCTCGAAAGACACGCAAAAGTTCATCGACGCACTGAAGAAAAGCAGCTCCTTTAACAAGGCCCGGGGGAGAGGACAGGAACAGAGGGGGATCCCGGGGATCCTGCCTTGCTGTTGGTTATTTCAATTGTGGTTGGTGTGTGTTTTGCCGTCCCTCTGGAGCTAAGCAAGCACTTACTTTGATGTACGAAGCATGGGCCTAAGCTTGGTGTGGTTCGCCCAAGCCCTCGAAGCTCTGGTAGTCACCGTCTGCGATTCCATCGGACCATATGACAAGATTGCACCTACATACTCCATTCTATCTGCGCTGGGAAGTCGGACCTCACGTCCTGCCTGTGCTGGCGTCAGTGCCTAACATACGGGCATAGCGCTCCTTACTCCACTTCACGTACCTCTGTTTGAGCCCAGCAGCCGCCTTGCCCCGAAGTAGAAGGACCGCAACCGACTTGTCAAATTGACCATGTCGGATTGATGGAGTGCTTCGATAAGCGTGAGTGCGCGCAGCCGAGCTTCGTGAAATTGAAGACAGGTTCGTATTACCCAATGTCCATGTACATCATCAGCGAAAAAGCTCAAGTGAGCTCGACACCACTCAGGACCCAGCATTCTGCAGAGTCGAATAGTCCAGGCCGTGAAAACGCTTGGAACGGACAACCCGGTCGAAGTGCACGCTTCATGCTGACACGAATGCTGCTCCCACAGTGTCTCACTATACATGTAGATTGTCTGCGTGTCTCTACCACCAGTCTCGCCAATGCATCCGACACTCCTACCTCCCTACGACTCTCATACATCACTCCGAACGGCATGCAATCAAGAGCCTTCGCCACATCCAGACTTATCATCAATCCCCGACATATCTCAGGTAGGTCGCCTGTGGTAAATCGAGTGGGGGCTCCGCCATGCCTGCCCCTCTGTAAGAGTGCAAATTGGTAGCCCAATGATGTCCAGTTGTTGTTTACTCAGGAAGCATCTAACCTGGAACAGTCTACCCGGCTCAGCCTCTGCCATCTAATGTGTTGGGGGTCAGCAAGGTCTCTGCGCACTCCCTCTAGTACTCCACCGCCCCCTTTGCGGCCTGCAGCAGAGTGAAAAAAATTCCAGTCATCCGTTGACCAACCCCAACTGAAATCCCAGTGTGTCTGCTGCAAGATGACAACACTTATCTTGCGGTTCTTCTTCATTTGCAGCCACTGCTCTAACTCCGTGAAGAGTACACGCGATAATCCACCCGCATTCCAGGAAAGAAAACGAATTCTGGGCTTCTCTCGTATCACCACTTTCTCCTCTATTACCGGGAGCATCAGCGAACACGATACCAGTCGACGGCCCCTGTACATGGTCTCGTCTTTCAGCTGCGCACGACTCACGACTTGCTGCAGGCTTGTAAGCCATTTCCTAATCCTCGAAATTGTACTTCAGGTACTGAAAAAGCTTCAACGTCCCCCTCCTGCGTTCGCCACCGGAGCAGATGCCCCGATAGCTTTAGGTCCCCGGTGGGTGAGGACCAACCCTCGCGCCAGTGATGCCTCGCTGCATTGCCGACTGTTGCTGTTCTCATCACTCCGGGCTGAGCGCACTCAATTCTTGTCGTCACTCATCGACTCGTGCTGCGCAGTGCGCCGCGGCACAATACGTCCTTCTGCCCAAAGAAAAGCTGCAACTCCAATCGCACAGCTCTCGAGGAGAGCACCATAAGCAGTGTTTGGTTGCGGTGCTCAGAGCCTTCTAGGAAGCATACGTTCCTTTAATAGGCCCGTGTTTCACATGACGATGCTCTGCTTCAACCGCTCATGGTGCTTTACTACTACTGCTGCTGCTATATACTGCTGCTCCTCCTCCTCCTCCTCCTCCTCGTGGTGTAGAATAAACAGTGTTTAATGCAGAAGCAAAGTTCGGACGAGAGCCACCCACCGTGCAAGGTGATGTTCTGGAACTGGAACCTGGCTCCTGAGGAACCCCTCACCGAAGACTTCATTTTCATGCCGGAAGTTTGGGGGTCCGGTGTGGTGAACGAGGAGTGGGTGCGCCAAGCCGACACGACGAATTTCCTGGACAGCCACGGCAAGCAATCTCCGGCCACCATGGCGAACCTCATGATGGGCATGAACGAGCCCGATATTCAGGGAAGCTGCATGGGCAACATGTTTGGCAGGTGCGTCAAGCACCCTGGCAGCATGGGGAGGAAAGGGAGTTCGGCAAGTGATGGTGATACTTTGGCCGCCTCCTTCTCCTGAGCCTCTTGAGGCCATGCGATGATGCCGCTGTGCACGGCAATGATTGCCCAAAGGCCGACATTTCTCTGCAGAGAGATCTGCTGCTTGCTCACGTGCACTGCTTCGGTCTTCCGGCGCGTTCGAATTCTCTTGCCCGTTCCTGCTTGCGAACAAGCTCATGTCATTCAACTTGAGGATCAGAAAAGCCGGGTTTTTGTTAGCTGAGGAGCTGGATGTCAATCTCCCTCCTGCGAGTGCTAATTCTCGAGGTATGTGCAGCTTCGCCGCAGCTTGAAATTGTACAAGTCAACACAGCGTCGAAACCCGTCGAGCCATACATTTCACAATTTCTTATGAAGCCAAGTCGCTTGCCAAAACAAAGGCAACTGCTGGGAGAGCGCCTACGCCACAGGGGTGGGCTTCTGGCCCGTGGGCGGCTGTTCGGCGTTGCAGCCCCTGCCGGAGCTCTGGGAACAAGAGCCGTTTCTTGCATGGTTTAGGGGCGCAGGTTCGCTTTTCAGGCAAAGACTCGTGGGTTGTGGAAGTAGTTAAGTAGACGGTTAAACAGCCTCGCAGCCAAAAAGCACCATTGGTTTACTTGACGAATCTTGACGAGCAGTGGCCGCGTCGATTCGAAGGCAGATTATCTTAAGATACGCCGACTGAGGGGCTGCATCAACACCGTCATGACAAACTGGAAGAAAACGGCTGCGATCGCTGTCAACAAGGGCTACAAGTACCTGTCCACCCCTCTGTTGGCGGCGCCTTGGACGATCCCTTTGCTTCTCCTTGCGAACTTCTGAGAAAGAGGACCAACGTGGGAGGTGGTTTGTTTGAATTCTTGTGCTAAGGTATACGTAAGCTACGCAGAAAAGTTCATTGAATATGCCTGCGACTGCCATGATGGTGCGTTTTGGCAGCAACCAGCTCTCGAGTGCATCACACGACAGAGTCCACCTCATGTTGCTGTTCCGTCAGTACTTGCTAAGGTTTGCGGCTGCACAGATGCGAGCTGTGGCTGTCCGGTATATGTTGCTTGGAAGTGTTTGGCTTGATGTGGCTCCCAGCAAAGATCAAAGAGTCAACGAAGCTTGACTTGGCCCTGGAACATGGCTCCGAGATGCTCGACCCCAATACTAGCGATGCAGGGCATGAGAGTAGCCGTGAGCCTGTCGTCAATGCGCTCCTTTGCAGCTTGCATACAAGGGGGACCGATGTTTGGGTCAAACTGAGGTTGGGCTTCATTTCTATGCCTTCGACTGCCGACCGGTGTCCACATCTGCTTATTACAACTTCCAGGCCCACACTGCAATAGGTGTTTCCGGTGCATCCTATGGTCCGCATGCGTCCCCTGTATTGAAACATGTATCATCGTCTTTGTGCCGTCGACACTGTGCCGTGCGAAAGATTTGCAGCTCCATACATAAGCCGACATCAGATGAGCGACGAAAAAAGTCTCAGCCGAAAGCCCTCAACTGGTACGTTTAGATGAACCAAAGCCACAGCAACACTACGCTAGTCAGGATCGTGGCTTTCATTCACGGAGGTTTTGTTCATTCTTTAGCCTGACAGAATTCTGTGTTGAGGCACGGGTGCAAGACATCGCTCAGCTGATGGAGATTCCCAGCAGCGCTAGCATTTCAAATTTCGTGCACGAAAGACGTCGCGGGCGTTTGCTGGCGAAGGAGCCAAGAAGGAAGTGGGCTCTGGGATGTAGGGAAAACTTTAAGCCCCAATACCCAACAGCCGGCCTTTGGTGCAGCCCGATTTCGAGTGATGCAAGCTTGCGATAACACGCAGAAGCAAGTAGACAAGCGTGCGATGCTCCAATTGCTAGACCGTGCTAATTGAGTGCCAAGCAACTCACGGTTTTTGTTTGGAACAGGTTTGCTCATTTCGTGCCGCTTGATAGTACATACGAGGACCTGGTGGCCTGAGCCCTTTCAGCCACTGCATTCTGCTAGTCAGCTATCACCTGAGATTTGACCTAAAATCTGTGGAACCTGGCCTGGATCGAAGGAGCAGTTTTGTCAACCCTCGTGGACGTTGCTGCGGGGTAAACTACAGTACCACTTTCCTACTCCTAAACTTCCTAAGCCATCATAGCTCGACGTCGTACGTTGGATTTCTCATGTTGCATCGACAAGAGGCTTTGGAGTTCAACTGGAGGTCACAGTGCAAGTAAACATCCCGCAGGGCAAGCCTTCCAAGTGTTCGCTCTTGCGAGAGCTATCTGTTCTCGGACATCATGCGTCTGAGCTGCTGTGGGTGCTGAAGCGATTATGACCTTGAGTTCAGTGTAGTGTAAGAAACCTACGCGTCTTTGGCTTTCTGCTAAAATGTGTGTTCAGGAAATTTAGCCTTGCGCATCTCGCCGCGAGAGCGATGTGCTGCGAGGGATTTGACCGGGCGAGCTCCAATCAAGCCTGTGGAAGAGGGTTGTGACACTCATGCCGCATGCCTTATGACGATTAGTGCCTGGCAATCCGGCATGTGCAGATACCGAAACAGAGAGGCATGCTGCCTCCAGCTCAGGAAGTATCCCTTCATTAAAGGCGCCATCGTCAACGAGGCACACCGGTCGTCTGGTAGAACCGATTCCAACATCCACCGCCGCCTAAGAATCTGCTGTCCAGGTGGGAATGCTAAACTGCGCCGGTCCGACGGAAGATGATCCAATTTGCGTCCCCGACTCGGGCCAGTTCCCTGCAAAGGACGATCCGCACTTCAGCCGCTTGGACAGCAAAGAGTTCTGCGACAAGCCGACGTGATCGGCCAAAGCATGCACCGCCGCAGGTCGACCCTATTGCACTTGTTTTTGTGGACATGGGCGGGACAGTTCAGTGTGGCTGTCGTGGCTTCCCTGCTTGTTATTTAGGATTCCTTTAGGATGGTGACACGGGCAGGACGGGCAGTGGACGCCGCCGAAGCTGCTCAGATTTAGGCCCCCAGTCAAACTGCAGCACAGGTTGCCCTCAGAATGAAGAGCTGCCCAACGGCCTGGCCTCATTTGTGACGAGAATACTGGAGCCGCTTTTTCGAACAATGAGGTACTGACCGACTGACTGCAACAGCATGGTTTGGTAGTAAAGTTTCGCTGGCTTCCCACAAGATTACTCTGGCATGCCATGGAACATCGGCGAGTGTGGTTTCGGTGGTGTGGTAAGGTAACACCTACAATGTAGCAGAAGCAGCGTGTCATGAGCACCGAGGATAGCCCTTAGCGTCAAAACGAGCGATGGCCGACCTGTGGTGAAGAGCTTCGCTTGGTTTAACCAGGATCGAGAGGGAGGCGGGAAGATCCGCATGACGGCGAGCATGCCCTTTGTACTCTAAAGCCTGACTTAGGATCACGAGCAAGTTTTGACAATGCAACGAGCCAAAACAGTTACATTCCGCTTGGACTTCTTCAACTCAAGTACCCCGCCGGAATCAGGCAATGTCATGTCGAATATACTGACGTCCCGGTGCCAGAACTGTTGACTCAGCGCAGATGCAGAAGACGCATTATGGATGCAGCTGCCCAGCCGCCCCTTAACACAAGCGTACTTGTAGAAAACCAATGGATAAGGATAATGCTAGATCAGACAAGCCCCGACAAGTCAGTTTCGCCTGATGTTGATATACTCCGAGTCTAGACCTTACCATCCTTCAAACTTCCATGGTTCCGGTTGTTCTGTTGCGCAGCACTCTCTTTCAAGGCACGTACAATTTGCGCTTGTTCGATGACGATGGCAAAGTCAATGAAGCGGGCGAAGCGCTTCATGACTGACATTCGGGTTGGACCCACACCCTGCTTTGCCCCACTCTCACCACCTCAAGAATCTTGGGCGTGAGTGTAAAGACCCGGGCACCCAAGGTACATGAAGGTCTGCAAAAAGTGGAAGCAGCTGGCGGCATAAGTCAGAAAGAATTCGTGCAATGCAGCTGCAAGGCTTGCAACACATCCCGTAGTCTTGGTGCAGACACAGGTTGTGGTGCTGCTGGAACATAAGTACACCACGAAACACGTTTCACGAAGTGAGAGAGGCCATGTTCTTCACATGCCTTTTCCATCACTTTAAGCGCATGTGCCCCTTGGCACAAGGCCAGGGCAAAATTCGACTAGCGATTCCATAGATGTCGTAGACATAGGAGTACACAACACTCCGTTCCCTTCCTCGATGTCTGCTTTGCCGTTGGTGCTTCGAAGCAGTTGCCCAACGCTACAGGCTTCACGCCCAGCTGCAAGCGCAGCTCAGTGTCAAGCCCTATTGCGCAGCTTTTCGTGCAAGTGCTAACCAACAACAGCCTGAGATTCGTAGAGTTTGCAAGGAACGCCTCGACAGCAAAACCCACCCCTCGCTTAAAGCTGTGCTCCTTGGAAGCGATTTTGTGATGCCTAGGCCAGGCAACTGGGGCCCGCTTGACGTGCCAGAGAGATTCCACACCAGTGTCGGCCAGACATCTTCCGTGCGAAGTTGCTGTGTGACCGACATGAAACCTGAGACGCTCGTGAAGAGAGGATAGCCCGCAGCCGCCGGAGTAGAGAAAAAGAAGAGCTTGTCATGCAGAGACCTGTTATGATGACAGCTTAAGCTCAGTGCAGCCCCATCAGTGGTGGCGGAGCCTGCTGGAGAGACCTTTGTGTTGCCACTCGTTTGTGCCCGGAGCTTGAATGACTAGGTCCCGTGCTGGGTCGTGCGATCAGGTCCGATCAGCTCATGATGTCTTGTCTTTGCCGCCGCACCTTTCCTCGATCAGGGGGTGACGTGACTCTGAGAAGATCTAGGCCAGTCTCTTGAGAAACGTGACAAGTGCTATCTCATGTGATTGCGAACCGAGCCTGCGGCGTAGCAGCATTGGCCCCCAAGCTTTAGTAGCCATGTTCCTGTATCAAAATCCAAGCGAGTCCGAAGAGGAAGAGTGAGAAGCTCAGAAGTGAGGGGGTGTGAGATTGCGCAAGCCTCAAGAAGCATCGCCAGCCTGGCCAGACGGCCTGGCCCGTGAGGTATGTGCCTGCAGTCCTTCGCCGGCCCAAGGCGAGGCCGAGCCTTTGCTTAGTCGCGAAGCGAAGGAATGCGGGGCCGTGCGGAAGCGAATTGCTGAAAGGTGGCGAACCACACCATCCACGAGAGCTTCACGGCGGACACTCGTGACCACGAGGACCACACATTCTGTGGCGTCATGCAGGAAGCCCAGAAGGCTTGGAGCACACAGGAACAGCGAATCGCGAAAGCAGGAAGCACTAATTTTCGTTCTGAACTGCGCCCCTTGCCCCTCGCTAGTTGTCCCAGACGGAGTTAAGTAAGGCAAGTGGAAGCCAAGATTAGAATCGAATCGAGCGCCACGTTGATTGCCAGATGATCGCATTCCTCCCAATCAGTTTTTCGACTATGCACAAAAGAAGCACGTATCATTCCCTTTAGGAAACTACTTCGGACCGTAGTTGGCTTGTTCCGCAACTCTGCGACAAGAGGCATCCTCCCACTGGCTTACCAGATTCTGGAATGGTGACACCTAATGCCCTGCTGCCCGTGCGCGATACCTCGAATTGGCTGGGCAGTGAAGTCACAGAAAGACACGCTTAGGACGGTGGTGCTGGCCGTACTCCTTGACATGTTGGCGTTGTGTTCGTGATAGTCTCTTGAATTCTGCTGGTCTCCGTTTAACCTGTTCCTTGACACGCTTGATGCATTCGATGCAGAATGGCATCAGCCAAGAAATCAACAAGCAGTTGACTCCTAGATTGCCAATGTGGGGACGCGAAGCGTGACCAGAGCCTCTCAATACTGCATTCCGTCCTCGTTGGTTTCACTTTCGGTGAGCTGATGTCTATGTCCGCCACCCACTCTTCCCTCCTCTCTCATCCCCTTCAATGCAGCTGGACCAGAATCTGCGTGCTTGTGATTGAGACGTGTGCACTTGGAAACTGGATCCGGGGCAAGCAGCAAGCTGAGTGCAAACCCCCCACCCACCTTTCAATCAAGGGCAAGGGTTTAAGACTTGGAGCGGGGCAAGTGATACGTGCCGCGTACCGTCTGTGTGATCCACCAGGTTCGACATCCAATGCAAGGGTCAGGAAGACGGTGCCGTGCGCTTGCAGCACCGCAGGGGCTGTTGGAGACTACTGCAGCCTGCGTGATCTCAACATGTTTTTTTGGAACAAGTGCTTTGGCCATGGAGGTACCTGTTGAGTTTATGCTCATCACCTGTCTGGCAGCCCCTGCCTTTGATGGATTTGATGGAGAAGCAATGCTGTAAGAAATGCAATTGGCGGGTCACCAATGGCCTCAGGCCTCAATAGCCTCAAATCTAAGTCGCTGTGATCAAGAAGTGGGCTGCGAGCGTCAGTCAGACAGGTGTCAATGCTTTGACATGGTTGGACTCCAACTCTTGCTCTCCAGACTCCTCTCGCCGAGGTTCGAGGAGACCTCGGACCCATGACTGCTCGGAGCCCAGATGTGCTTTCCGACGTCCTTTGCGTCTTTGAGGAGTGCTGCGACAAGACCCTTGCAGGGGCAAGGAAGTTTCAAACCCCAGGCCGACAAACTCTGATGAGCCCGGCTAGTCGCAGAACGTATCAGCGAGTCATGTTCGAGCTTCCTGAGCAGAACCACAATGGCCGCTTTGAAAGAGAGACCGCCCGAACAAGGTTTGGACTACTCCTGGCTCCTACAAAAAGAAGGCATGTCTTCCGCGGCCATGCCCGCTACATAGAATCTGTGGCCTTCACGTGGTGGTCATGACCGAATGATTTGAGCCACATGTAGTCCACGTGCCTGCAATGCCCGAAACAGCTCGACAGATTGTAGTGACATGTGCTTACTACGCTGTTGCGTCGTTTGCTGCAGCATGGCGGTGGCATTCCACCCCTGCGAGGAGCATGCCAAAGAGAAATGGGTTCGGAAGCCCAGTCTCAGAAGACCCCGAAAACGTTCAAAGAGCGCAGTACCTGGTCCTGCCCCAGGAATGTATTTACGACGCTGAGCATACTCCATCGCGCCAGGCTGGCTTTCCAAGAATCGAGCCATCCCACGAAGGATCCATTGACTGCTTGGCAGAACTACCAACCACTCGACCTCGTGAGCCCCATTCGCCTGCAGCCAGGAGCCATCCGTTGGGCAAACAACTAGGATTCTTTTAAATCCATGCACAATTCGGAAGGCCGAGACTTGGGGACCGGCAGAGGTCGTGGCCAAGCCACTTTGCAAGCTTTCCTACATTGCACCAGAGTGTGTTGTGGTCAGCCTAGTCAGCCTGCCTGCAGCAACTGCAGCAAGCAACACCGCAAAATTGACTCGAACAAGCTGGCTACGTCATGTTTCAATATCTTTGAGTGATACCAAGTCCCTCGTTTCGTGCACGTACACTCGTCATGTGTGCTGGCATTCACCAAGTCCATTGCCTCAAAAACACCATAGCCAGACAATTGCCTGCCAGCAGCCAGCTGCCCCAGGAGAGAGTTGTGGCGTCTATGCCCGGGCCTCGGAAGACTCGTACGTAAGATCGTGTGCATATGTTCCTTTATTGGCTGCGCACTGAGCATTAAATGCGTCAAGTCAGGTCCACTCAACGCTTCCGGGCGATGACGCTCTAGTGCTTGGGCCTCAACTTTCAAGCAACCGTAACCAAGCAGCGCATCTCATGGATCAAGCCGGCCGAGGTATGACAATCAGAGAGCTTCTGTCACACACGAGGCCTGGTAACAGCACTTTGCGATTGTGTGGAACCAGTCCCAGTCGCTGTGCAGGATGCTGTCTTGAAGGTGCTGCCCGGTCGAGAACCCGGGACTTGCGATCAGCAGTTTCCGAAGAGCAGACAGGATACTGTTTCCTGAGAACTTCTGATGAAGGCTACAAGAAGGTGGTGCCATTAAAAGGATCCTCTCTTTTCAACTAAGGCCAGGCCCATCTGTCAAATCGGCCTTTCGGGAGACATGGCATGCCACAGCCCTGGCTACTCGCACGCGTGGCCAGCGACATGAAAAGCTTGCAAATCAACAAACAGAAGCCGTGGTCCCGTCGCCGAATGGTTTATTCGCTGAAAGACTGGTGCCGCGAATGCAGCTTACCGAGCTTTCACTGCCGCGTTGTCAAGGTGGGGCTTTCCCTGGCGAGAGCGACGAGAATTTGTAGGCGCAAGCACAGTTTAGCCCGGCAGCGCAGAAATTGGTCAGACGACACGGTGCAGGAAAAGAGCCACATTCTCGTAGGAGGTATCTGCACCCAACACTCAAGCATAATGACAGGGTCGTGTTTGACGTTGATCCTTGCCACACACTTCCAGAAAAGATCCGTTGACAGCTGAATCACAGGCCGTGTGTCCTATGGCGTGAACTACATTCTTTGGAATCCTGTGGCGAATGTTCACCAGCGCTTTCCGTCCAGACCTTGGAAAGCGCTCCAGCTTTTAGCATGCCCGCTGGCCCCACTGGCGGTTAGGTCCGGTTATGTACATTTTGGCTTCCCTGGTAGCTAGGATTGGCAGACGGCTTTCAAGGCCTGAGATTAAATATATCAATAGACACGCACGAAGCTCCTTTGCAAGGCCTGCCTTCAAGGAGGCTCGCTTGCTGGGTTGGGATGGTCTCAGTTGTATGCCAGCAGTCGGGCCTTGCATGATAAGCACTCAAGCAGGCGTTTCAGCATGGCACGACGTGTTGAATTCCCGGAAAAGACATTCACGCTTTGGCTCCTCATGATGTCGAATTGACTTCTGGTGCATGCCTTGCTCGTGCGTGGCAGCCGGGGCATGCTCGGCTCCTAGGCAAGGCAGGCCCAGGTGGATGCTGTTCAGGTGTGTGCCTGATGGTCGTGGCATGGATCGCTTTTTGTCAATGCCATATGACACTCATGATGCATACCTGGTATTACCTGGTCCTGGTCGCTTGCGGCTCCGAGGCAAGCCACGGCCACCAGGCTGACTGTGTCTTGCCTCATGGGGTTGGCCTTCGCTTACCTGGGAGCCGAAGCATTCTGGTCTCATGCCTGCCCTTACGCAGACTACGATGCGTGCCTGAGGGCTAGGCTTGGCCATTTCTCGACTCTGGTCAATGATTCATAATGCATGAACGGTGGTGATGGTGGCATGAATGGTCTCGGGGGGATGCTCATAGTGTGCTTGGTTTTGAGTACCCTTGCTTGCAGCTTCTCTGCTGCCATGTGCAGCATCCAGTGACCGTCGGCGTTTACAGCACCTTGCAGGGTGACACTGTGCTGCGTGGCATGGTCATCTACGCCTAGTTCCCTCTCGACGGCGGAGAGCTCGTCCAAAAGCTGCTGGCGCCACGGACTTCATGCAGCAGCAGATTCTATGGCAGCGAAGCTGTCCAGCTGCGAGCCCTCGGCCCAGTAAAGGGACAGGTCAGCTGCCCTCAGCATTGAAGTTTTGATCACATATAGCAGATAAAGAAAATGTTCACCAGCCTTGGTTTTGTAATGGTGCTGACGGAGCATTTGCTTGTGGTTCATGCATCTGCCGTGTTTATGCGCGGCTGCGAAAAAAAGCATTCCTGTCACCAAAGTCATGAAGAAGGAGAAGCCAACACCACTCATCGCAGCATTTCCATTCCGACTTGCAGAGATGTGTTGGTGTGCTCACCAGGCCGCCTGGCTCCTGCTGCTTTGCGCCAGGAAGCCTGAGCACCGACCTGAGAAGTTGTTGATGGTAGATTGCTGAGAAAACACTAGCGACTTGGGGAACGCTTGTGTGAGTGCACAACTTTCCAAGATCGCCACTTTATTGGCTGCACGACGAAGTGCTCTACTACGCCGTGGCCTTGATGTTGTCCAGATTCGGCCATGCTCTCCTCCTCTGCCAAGTTGTGCCAGATTTTGAACATGTGCAAGTACGACTGGTTCTCCACTCACACCCGACTACGTGCGCTCGCTTTTTTGTCCCCACATGCGAGTTCAATTCTGTCCTTGGATGTTTCCAACCTGTGGCAGGTACGACTTCCAGGCACGAGAGGCCTTTGCGCAAGTGGCCGTGACCTCAGCAGCATTCAGCCTGGATACATCTCTTTCCAGGACTGAATCAGGAAAGCGGCGCTTTTGGGCATGTTCTGGTGTGGTAGATTTTGCGCTTGTCCGGATCTAAGGAGCCAAGCTTCCAGTGACACTTGGGCCGCGCTCAGCACTTTGAAAGGTCGTGAAACCACAGCTGTGTTGTGTGTGCTTCATTCATTTTCAGATGACACGATGCAGCTTTACGTTGCACTCTTCGGGCTTCATTCAACCCTGTAAAGGGATGCTTGCAGGTTGTTTCTGTCATAATGGCTGTCGAGTTCCAAGGAAAACAGCATGGGGGCTCTCTTCCGTCAAGCTTTCAGCTCAGTCACTTGTTCTGCTGCGGGGCTGTGAAAGATGAGTAGTTGTTCGAGGGCGCTACACTGACTACACACTACAGGGCTCGAAGATTGTGCAGGTCACCCCTTCGGTGGGTTTCAACTTCGACTCGCAGAGCACGGAAAGCCGGAAGCTTGGGATGCGATGAGGAGATTCAGCACTCTGCTCAGAACTTCGAGGCGAGAGCACCAGCAACAGCGTGAGCAATGAGAGCTCGTGGTAGAAAGCCATCAACCAAATGGCATACTACAGTGTCCGCAAGCCCTCCTACTTCAGACGAGACTGCGGTCCGCAAGTTGTGTGCAAGCGATGGAGTGCAACGTGTGAGGACTTGCCTTGGCACAGCTTACTTGGCCGCTCGTTGCTGCCAAGGCGAGGAAATCTTATTAATCAGCTGTGGCTTGGCCAGCCCACGGCCTTTCAATAGCCTAGCACGGATGTCTAAGGGAGACTCCCAAGACGACGTAAGCATTCGATCAATCTCCCCTGGACTTCGGTTCTGTAGCTCGCAGAATTTGAACCAAACACAGGCACCAAGTCCGCCCACTCTGCGCGGAGTTGGCATGCAATGCCTTGTTCAAAGCATTTTTGGCGTCGCCCTATGGTCTGTGCGAGCTCACCGCTGGATTTAAAGTTTGGTCAAGAAATCTTCCGGTGACCAGTCGCTACAACGAAAAGGAAGCACTATTAGGGACAAGGAAGGACAATTGGACAGCTGTGAGTTCTGCTGGCAGGCATCGCTGTTATAGCCATGGCACTGTGCTGCAACAGCCAGCGTTGTAGTCTAATACTGCTTTGCAGGTGAGGGAGAAGGATGGGTGAATTGCAACCGGAGATGTTAAAGGCTCTCTGTCTCTGTGCATCCGTTCGAGCCATAATTCCTTTACCTGCAACGTGCCTGTTCATAGTCATAGTTACACTGGTCTGGCAGTCAGAGTATTGCCTGCACGACGCACGAGTAACGAATCCGCCGCAGGGAGTCGTTACGAAAACGGTCGGCATGGTCTGCCGCATGTAGGGCAAGACGGGAGGCGCCAGTTTGGCCTGTGTCCCCGCAGCCACATGCCAAACTTGAACCTGTGAGCTGATCGTCTTTCAACATGCCCAGCTCTCGGGCGCAGTGAATATCACTCACTTTCACTTTCAACATGCACTCACCAGGAAGCAAGGCTGTATAGCTTAGAACCAGCGACTGGCTCAGATGGTCTTCGGAATGTGAAGCGCTCAGACAATCACCTTAACAATGCAGGCTGCCCCCGGGGCACTTGTACAAATTGTTCCTCGCGGATGCGCCGCCGGAACCTGACAGCGCTGGACCTTGGAAGGCGCGTGAAGCCTTTCCCTTAGAAGCTTCGCTTGGACCGCTTGGAGACTTCCAATCACTCGTTCACCCACTACCACCAACAGTGGTGCAGTGTTCCGTTGTGGAAGGGATCGGGACACCAAAGCAGACCGGCTCTTCAAGGCAGGGCAGAGGCCAATTCTTCATTACGCATTTGGATTGGGCAAAATCGAGGTCTTTGATCTTGGAGCAGATGGAGGTGCACCCGAGACGACGAGAAAGCAGCATCGTTGACAGCAGCAGCTGGTCGCTAGAGTCGCTAGAGTTGCTGGTCAGGCTCGACCCGGCATGGCACTTCCAGCAAGTGCAGAGAACGATCTGCAGAGGACGCCCTTGTGGGAAATTGAGCGGCCAAAGTTCCGAAAGCTTAGCTCATGTGTCGCACGCACATGCAGTGTGCCCCCTGTCGTTGGATGGGAGGAACCACGTGGGAATGTCACCTTCGGCTCAGGACGGGGAAACTGACGGGTAAAGCGAGAGATCAGGTCAGACCGAGTCTTGCTCTTCAGACCGTGGGTATGGAACTGCTCGTCGGGAAGGGTTTTACCCGAAGGCACAAAGCTTGTGCTGAACAGAGACCCCGAAAAGAAAGAGGAGAGGGGCATCATCACAGGCTATTGGAAGGGGACGCCGCCTCTCCCCCATTCTCCTGCCTGCGTGTCCTTCGTAGATAGCCTCGGTCCTTTCTCTCTGGCTCTTTCAGAAGTGCAAGTGTAAGCGAGACTTGTGTGGGAGTCGGCGTCGACAAAAAAGATATGTGCCCGTAACATGCCATTTCGGCCGCAGGGCAAACACACGACCAGAGATTGGACTGCATGCGGTCGCGGCCAAGATCGTGGCAGGTCCTTCAGTGAGCACACGGCCCCTTAGAAGATCTCAAACACAAATCTGTTGCTACTCGAGATGCTCAGGTGGTGCTTTGAGTTGGTTCAGGGTTGGTGGCACACGGTGGCGTGACATGTTCTAGACATGGCTTCAATTTGTAGAGTGCTGGCTGCCTGCTGCAACCCGCGATTCCACCGTGCAGCCGTGCTCCGCTTCCGCCAGCCGGATGCGTGGAGATGGTACAGAAAGTATAGTGCGAACAGTCAAGCTCCCGCAATCTTGTGCGACAGACACACCGGCATTGGCGATCTTGCGGATTTGATCCAGTTGCAAGTGCAGGACCAGAGCCTTTGCGTTGTTGACTGTACAGATCTCGGCGCTGTACATTGGGCACTCCTCGCACTGATCCGAGCAAAACGACAGACAGAGACGCGACAGCAGCACGGGCTCACTCTGTACATGGTCCCAGAGGAAGCCAGGTCAGCACGCGATGCTGACGAAGACACAGGTAGCAAGCATCAGGAGACGTTCCATCCCAGGCTTCATATTCTGCAAGGTTTGGAGTGGAACTTGTCCGGTACTTCGGATCATTTCGTGATAGCCGAATGGACCCACACCGCCTTGGCAGCTGGGCTTGTGACTGAGCGCCTGCCAGATCGAGGCACGGCCCTCGCAGCCTCTGGACGCAAGGCTGTGTCGAAGGCATTCAAGATAGTTGCGACAGCCAACGAGTTTTTGAAAAGACGACGGCGGCTGGAAGAAGGCATTGTGTTTGTCGTTTCGGTTGGATGGGAGGAACGCAACGCAAGCCACTGGGGCGACCGTGTAATTCTGACTTGCGGACTGTTGCATGCACAAAGCGGCAGGCCCGACAGCGCTGCAAGTGCGAGTCGACTGAAGACGCCAGACACTGTGTGACTGCTGGACGGTCGTTTTTCTGCCAGGCAAGTTCCGGGACAGCATGCTTTCCGATCTCACTGAAGACGTCAACACCCAGTGTAGTCACCCGCCATAGAAGGTGTGTAGCAGTGGGCGCAAAGTCTCGGAAGTGGAGCCAGAAGCTTCTGACAGAGGCCGAAAAAATGCCATGATGGAAGCAGTGGATTTGTTTGCCCTCTCGCTTCAGCTGAAACGATTTGACATTTGAGCGAATGCCCCGCACGAAGGTGTCGGCCGTGCCACTTTCGTCAGACTTGACTGCTGAACCTCCTGCCGCAACTGCGACGAAGTTCAACTCAGCTCCACTTGTCACTGTTTAGTTGCCCAGCCACCTTCACACAACCAGCTCGCACAACCAGTGATAGCTCGGCTCCTGAAGCAGTGATGGCCTGAAGCTCCCACGATGACTTGAGCCGAAGACACGCGCGTCTGGACGCAGGCGGACATGCTCGAGCTTCCCTCGCAGTGCCCGTGGAGGCTGCGTGTTTACTCTTGTGCATCTTGTGGGCAGCGCAAAGGGAGAGATGATGCAAGCAGTTCTCTAGACTCTAGGCCGGGACTAAGCTTGAAGCTCGAACCAGTTGCCCAACTCCTTTGAACCCTGGAAGCGGCTTCCAGAATCCTTTCACCCCTCAGTGGCACAGCACCTTCAGTACCTAGACCTAGCGCCGTAGTGCGATTCTATCCTGTTGGATAATTCTGGCTGGCCCTACGGAGGTGAGGCTTCAACTGTTACCCGCAATGCAAGCCTTCTGCCGGTGTGGCTCCACGCTCTTCTGGATGCACTCGAGAAGTTTCTGGCAGAACCCAGCCAAGACGAAACAAATGTGCGGGTAACATGGCGTGGATGCTCGACAGAGTATGTGAGCGCACTGACTTTTTGGTATTGCAGGCAGCCGCTGGAAGCTCTGACGGTCTGAATGAGCCGCCAGAGAAGCCGGTGCAGGAGGAGAGGGAGGAGGACCAAGACGAAGGAGAGGAGGCGAACCTGGCAGCATCGGACACAGCCGGGCAAGCGTTTGCGAACTGCGAGTGCCCCACTTGCAGGCGCTGGGCTTCATCATGGATGCCGCTGCAGATCAAGCGGTCAACGTCTCGGACCATCTCGTGTCGACGCTTCTCTGTGACGGGTTATCTTAGTTAGTGCCTCTGAAGCTCTGAGATGTGAGCAGATCATTGGCTGGAACGGTAGTCATGGGGCCATGTTTATGAGGTCGCGGATTTGGTTCGACCAGCAAGGAAGCCTTCCATGCCCGCGCTGGGACCCCAAGGCTTTCATATTGTTTCATGCCCACAGGACCTGATGTCAATGTCCATATTGATTTTTGTTGGACCACTTGCAGGCTGCACGCCTGTAGAAGAGGAACGTAGACTATGAATAGCAGGCAGTGTTGACATGCCAGCACCGAGGCTGACCAAAGAGGAGGCCAGCGGTCAGCAAGCACAGAGCACGGGGAGCACGTGCTTTATGGGCAACCAGACGCTCGACTGGCAGGTGCAGGAGGCTGAGGCGGCCTGGCGCGTCGAGGGCAGTGCCCGCGCTGGTTTCAAGGTCTTCCGCCGCAAAGAGCACACGGACGAAGGCTCTCGGTTTGCAGTGCAAGCATGCCCCATAGTGGTTAGGCTGCGTTTCGGCTGTCCTAGTCAAGTGGAACGTAAGGTTGCATGTGCAACGACTGGCAAACAGGCCAAGACACCTACCAACGGCATCATCATCGTATGTCAGAAGTTGAGATTGAGATATGTCAAACGAGCATCCGGAAAGAGCACTCGTGGCCTTTCGAGAAGGAAAAAGGAGTGAAGCAAGCACGTCTGAACAACTCCTCGAAAACTGCATAGACGTGCACACGTGCACACAAGCAACAACGAGAATGTTTTCCCGTCGCACCTCTCGGCGATGGCGCGCACTCGACAAGCAGAGCATGATTTTGCAGCGTCAAGGACAGTGCGGCCTGATGCTGCATTCCAAAAGATTAAGGGCGCGAGGCAAAGCATGCGAATTCAAACCACCACGATGCATCCTTACATTTGCAATACACCTTTGATGTGTTTCACGACCGACGAGTGCTTCAAACTTCAGTTCGTTGCAGACAACTCTCCGCCCACGCTGAAGAAGCGAAGCAGGCCTGCGACGACTGTTTCAATTGAGCGCTGGTGTCCGGGACAGACTTGAAATCCATGCTGAGAGGAGCTCGAAGCGACGAAAGAGGTCGCACAGGACAGTGCCAGATGCTACGGCGAGGCTTGCAATATTTCAACTGGCACGGCAGAAGACAAACGCACAGCTGGGAAAGCTTAAAGATTTCGAAACTGGTGGAGGAGAGAAGAGCTTTCTTTTCCTGATCTCTGATGGATAAGACGTGGGCCAGCCTGCCAAAAGATTTGAAAATTGCTTGCTTAAGATCCATATAGATTTTCATGATCTTCACCATTGCCAGATTACAGAAATATATCACTATCGCTAAGATTTCTTATCATTTTATAAATATATACTCTCGGTATTTTATCCAAGAGACTTAGAGCAGACCCGCTACTTCTTCTAGCCGCGATTTTTCATTCATAATTTATCGATGCGTGGGCATGATGGGGGCGATTGGCGGTGTAATATTTGGGGGGTTGCCTAAAAGCGCGGTTGTAGACTGGAAGGTAGGGTGGCCATAACTATCTTTGGAGCATGTTTTTACTCTTCGGAATGAGGCGGGGCCCGAGGTTGAGCAATTTAATCACCATGTTGGCGCTAGATTGTCGATAGTCTGGCGCTGGAGCAACAAGATATATCGTCATATAGTACACAAGGTTTGTATATCATGTTGGAATGCTTCGTAACTTGGTAGATGTGACATCACCCTTCAGAAGATTTGGACATTGCAGCATGCCGTACAGAGTGGGCTCAAGATGGCAGACCGAGACGGAGGTGCCGACATGCTGTCGTGTCGGCAATTGCCGAGCTGCCATGGCAGCAACCTGTCATCCGCGGCATGGAGCTAATGTCTGCTATTGCGTTCTTCGGTTGAAACCTTGAGGCATTGTCGTTCGATTCAGTGCCGATGTATCAGTGTGGCCACCCACATCCCCACATCCTATCGGTTGGTGTTGTAACCAAGAGCAATGCTGGTTTAACTATGTGGGGCCGGCCACGTCCAAATCATGCTGCCATCTTGTCACTCGGATTCTTTGCGCCGTGGTTTTACAGGCATACACAAATTTGAAACCATGCAATCGTCAGAGTCATGCAGCTAAGTGATGAATCGAGCCGTTCGCGGACCTTTACGTCATGTTCTGTGAAAACGATGAAGTCCTGGAAGCCTGGAGGTGCGAAGGCATCCGAGGAACCCAGGTTTCTTTCAACAAGTGAAAGGTTTGAGGGCAGAAACAGGTAGTTCTGTGGCATGGGCGCCGCGGGAGGTATTGGCTTGAAGATTCGCTTAGTAGGCTATGTCTTTCCGACCCCGAAGGCAGTAGCCGCAAACTGGATTCTGGACTGGAAGCCCGACGACGTTCCATAACCACAAAGACCTTCAAACCGAATTTTGGATTGCAAAACCCTGACGTTTTATGTTTTGAAGGTGGCATTTGGCGCTAGCCGTGCGCTAGTTCGGCGCTAGTGAAGTATTGTCAACTTTGTCTGGAAGCTTCGGAAGCTAATGTATTGAATGTTGTAAGGTCTAAGGTCTCGCAGAGCCCGTTTCAGAATCCAGTTTATGGGTATGGCCTTCGGGGGGTCAGAAAGATACAACCTTTTAATCGGATGTTCCAGTCAATATTTCTTGCGAGATGCTAGAGAACTACTTGTTTCTGCCTTAAAACTCTTCCCGTATTGAAAAAAACTTGGATACCTCGATCTTCGCACCTCTAGGCTTCTAGGACTTCATCGTCTACTTAGTTGCATGACTCTCATTATTTCATGTAAAATACGACGCAAGGAAGCCCAATGATAAGATGGTACTATGATGACTTGTACTTAAGTGTACCAACCGTCGGGATGGTAGGTGCTTTCTTGATCTAAGCGGCATTTTAATGGAATCGAATTATAGCACTGCAAAGATTTAAGCAAAGAACATATGAACGGACACGAATTCTATATCGTAGATACTTTGATGATATCTCTATTCTTTGTCTCTTAAGAATTTTGGTATTATGTTTCGACCCTTTATAAATTTAATAATATAGAAAATTGTCGATTTAATGTATAGCAAAAAAATATTTTCTGCAAATTTAATAGTATAGAAAATTATCGATTTACTGAATATTTTAAAAAATATATCTTTTCTTTGATTATGTTTGAATTATTTATTTTTCTAAGATAAAAATAGAAATTCTAAATTTTATAAGACGTAGATATTATATAGATTATCGAAATAGATATTTATTTTAGGAATAAAATTCTTACTTTTCTATTGATAAAAAATTTGTTTATTGAAATTTGATATATTCTTCGAATATTTTGATTTTGATTGGCATGAATTCTGAAAAAAGATATTCTGGAGTTCTTCTTGAATGATAAAAAGATATAATCTAAGAAATCGCTAAGGACGATTATTCTAGATTCTTAGAAATATTAAGAGATTATGATAATATATGAAAGGTCTTATATTTTTCTCTGAAGATATTGATTCTAAATTTCGATATTTTTCGTAAACCTGGAAGATATAGATTAGGTTTTGAGGAAGAGATAAATCTAAATTAGCATAAAATTCTTGGAATATAAATTATAGTCTCTCGGAATAAAGTGCCGAAATTAATTGATGAATCCTTGCCGCATTACATTAGGGTACATTCCGCAAAAGAGATGGATCTCGGAATCTTAAAAGATTCTGTCTGGCGATTTTGTGATCTAAGAAGGCTCCCCGAGAATTAAATTTCGAAATTCTCCTAAGATCTCTGCTCGATATTAAGTGCGGGTTTTAATTCAAGGCTTCGTTTGACGGTTGCTGATTTAAGAATAATTTCTTCAAAATTCGGTGTAATTTCTATGTATTATATAATACCGCGATCTCTTAATCTAAATAGACAGTCCAAAAATATAGAATCGAATTATTGCGAAGAGCCTTAATTCGTCTTATATATTATTTATAAATCTGGCAGATATATTAAGAATAAAATATAAAAAAAAAATATTGTTCTAATTATTCCAGATGGATATCGAACCTATATATATATTGAGAAATATATAGAATAAATTGCGCATATATATATATATAAGAATATATATAGCATATCTTTATTTATATATATATATGTATTCAAGACACGAGAGAATATATATATATATATTTGGGAATATATATATATATAATGATAATATATGAATATCTATATATCTAATATAGGGCTGCCACCTACACCCTCCCCCCCCCCGCCCATGGAATCCTCCCGCCTCCCTGTGAGGTGGGGCCTGTGGCGGTGCCCTTCCCTGCTTCCAGTTGTGGTTTCGTTGTTGTGATGGGCTGTGCACCCCCAACCAATTGAGGTTTTGA